GAGCTGGCCCTGCGCGGGGGAATCCTTGAGAGAGGAGGCTAATCACTTTCAGATGACCAAAGTCGAGTCCCTGCAAAGACTGGAATACTTGTGCTGACTTTTCTTTGTAAGAGTGGAAATGTGTCCATCTGGGTCGTTTTCAAAGAGGCTCTCTGGACATCGCTTTGTCCAAAACATTGAGATGAATTTATAATTGGAGAAATGTGTTGGAGATCATATCGAAACACTAAAGCGATCGCATCTTCCAGTGGACGCTCTTAAAACTTTTAAGATTTCTAACGTAAGTGGCTTAAAAGGGTTTTGTGTAAAGTGCATGGTGTTTAACCCATGTAGTCACACTTTTGTAAGTATAGAAGTGGGATTTGTCCGGCCTTGGGAACACTGCAAATGGGACATCTTGAAGTGCTGAAGAGCTTGCTTTCAAAGCCGTCAGTTGTCACCTCTGCATGTGCCTTTTTCTTTCCACGATCATGATCCAAAACTCTGAAACATCTGGCACAAGACCAGAGACTCGTCTTGATCTTTGAAAAAACGCCACATATGTGCTAGGCTCCTGTTGCACATGGTATCTCAGATACTCAAACTGCGAGGCGGTATCGATTTCTAAGCACTCTCTAAGCTTTTTCAACCCTCTTGCTTCACACTCATACAACTGTGCCAATAGAATATCACTTCTTAAAGGCTCATCAATGCAGAATGCCCCTTTAAACTGTTCTTTGTATGATAAAGCCTTCTCTCTCCTTTTTTGGGAAACACATGGCACCTTCCCCACCTCCCCTCTGCTCCCTTCCCCTCCAACCTCCTTTCTCATGACAGATGACTTCACTCACTCATTCTGGACAGAGCCCTCAATAGCCCCCCTAGGCATGCATACTCAGGGCAAATCCCAAAACACACTACACACACACAATTGGTGCCACCGACCTTGTACAGAGGTTGCAGCCTCGCTAAAACCCCCAAAAGCCTCCTAATCCTATTCCACCAGGCCAAGGAATAAAGTGAACCCACCCTCGTCTATTCAGTGCCATGCCATTGTCTGTGTGACTAAAAAAGGCAAAGAATACATGCAAATCCTCAATTTAATGCCTGACTTAAATCAAAATCCTTGTAGTCTACCGTAACACATACTGGCCTCTCTGAAATGCATTTCAAAATGAGGTGGAGCCACACAGTTTGTTTTGGCAGGGTTGCATCCTCAACGGCTTTTTTTCTCTGATACGTTAGCTGTCATTACAGCAAGTGTTCTTACTGGAACAGGCTGCCAGTTTTTTCAAAGTTAAAGCCTCCTTTGCCGATATAATCAGGTTTACCTTTAAAGGAACTGGTATTTCTGGATTGCACTGCAAGAGTGTCTGTCGCTGAAGTTGTTGTTTAAATAGGTTAACCTGAATCAGGTGATGGGATTTTCCTGAGGTGATTGTTTGGGTGTGTTGTGTTCTTACTCAACAAGGCCAAGAAATTCCCTCCATGAAAGAGTTGAGTGAGGTTTTCCCCTACTGGAGAGCTAGATGTTAAATAACAAGCTGATGCCAAGAGGTCACCCATTGACCCCTCAGAAGAGTTTCAGTCTGGTATGTTGTTTCAGCATTTGAAAAGAGATTTTCTCCCAAGATTGAATAGCTGCAGCAGACCAAGGAGCTCTTACTGTTTCAAGGAAAATGTCGGCCATACACTTAATTGTGTCTTTCATGTCTGAAAAAGGGACTCAAAGTTTGATTGATATACCAAAGGCTTCAGCGACTTGAATTGAAAGATTGAAAGTACTTAATCAGCATTATGTTTTTGTAGAACCAACTAAGCATCACCAAATCTTATTCACACTGACAACGTGTTTTGGACTATAACACTGTAATGTTTAATTCCACAACAGAGGACAGAACAAGACTGAACCTGTCTGTGTGTGATTAATATTTAAAAGGGGTGAGCAGTCTGAAAAGAACGAGTTGGCGCCATATCAACTGTAATAACAAAGAGTGTTTACAGCCCAAATACAAAAGGATACAAATCTTTTTGGAGTTTGGAGTTTTATGTGTGCCGTTAGTTTATTTTGGGTCAGTGTTTCCAACTGTTTTTTCAGACCCACCCACAAAGCTCCTGTGAGCAGTATTTATACCTAATGTATTCATTTAAATATAAATGAACTGGGGATCATGCATCATTACAATATGAAAATGGAAAGTATTTTTTAATACAATTAAACTGCAGATGCGTGGATTAAATTAGCTTGATAAAGTCGGCATTCATACAACTTGGAGTGGTTGAAGCTGCAAATTTCTCTAAGCTTCTCCAACAAATAAGATGTTATTCTTAATTCATTAAGTATTAAGCGACTATGTTTTCAATTTAAACCATTCCTTAACATAACTATTTAACCCAATTTAGCAATTACTTTTAGCTTCTTCAACCAGTATAAGGCTACTTCTAGCTAACTTGCAACCATTTATCCATAAGCTTTAACTATCTCAACGAGTTAGCCAATTATTTTAGGTATTTCTATTGGATGTTTTAACATACTTTGACTTTACTATTTTCCTCACTTAGCCATGACTTTTGTCTATTTTAGCCAGTTAGCTATTAGGCTAATTTTAGATCCCCATCCCCCCCAACTATTTATCTTTGTCATATATTTTAGCTGTGTATTCTACTAAGCCCAGACTGTAGCTGTTTCACCATACATTTACAAAACTATTTCAACCATTTCGATTTTAGCTTCTCCAACTATATACTAACCTTACTGTTAGCTCACTTTCTCAACCAGCAATCTTAGCTAGCCATCTTACGGATTCATTAATGTCCTTCCATTAATTTAAAAGTCATTAACTGTTCCTCCACTACTGGTGGCCATTTTTACAACTAGTTACTCTTTACAACTGGCTATTTCCACAACAATTTGATAACTATTTTAATTCCTGTGCTTTCTCGCTTAATGTTCATTAGGACTTAACACATGACAAATATACATTTGTTGATATATGATTTTAATGTAATCCATTGTAGCTCAGTCCTTAATCTTCTCATAAACTCTCTGACAGATACAAAAAGTAGAAGGCTATACCTAATACACTGATTAGGAACTACTGTTGTATAACATACAGAGAGTGTAGACAGGCTTACTGGGACTATTTCAGCCATGTCCCTGCTATGTGTGTTGTTATGAGAGCTCTTCTGTGCTCCCATTTACCCATGCTGTGAATTTAACTGTACACACAGGAGATACACATAGGGCATTGTGTGTTTCAAGCTGTGTTTACTGGTTGCTTTTCTTATTTTTCTGGTATTTAATGAGTTTTATTCTATCCCAGAATCATTGGAGACAGAACCCAGTGAGAGGTCATACATATTTAAATATCAACTGTCTGTATCTCAGATTTTTTTTTTGTCTACTTTCATCTTTATTTAAAGAGGAAAATATCCTGTAACGTTACCATTCTCCTCACGGATTGTTTTGACTGCTGAACCACTCTCAAAAAACAGAAACTGCAAACGGCAGGAAGCCTTAAACACAAGAATAGAAATTATCTCCTCTATCCCGAAGATGATAAGGCGGCTAATAATAAGAGTCTCATACTTGGTTTTGGACACTCTTGACTGAGGAAGTAATTAAGTTCAAGCAGTTTATCAGTGGCTGGCCGGAGATGTGCTGTCTCTGTGTGATAAAGGGGGGGCGAGTGAGGTATGCCCTTTTCTCTCATGAGTCCACCCCCCCTCCCTCCTATTTCATCCTCTCCTCCTCTGTTGCACTCCCCCCTGCTTCATCAGCTTCCCCCAAGGGAAGCCCGGGGCAGATCGAGGCTAAGAGCCACACAACTCAGCCATCATGTCACTCATCCCCACTCTGCTCAAATGTCCAATCAGGCTAATTTTAGCCAGTGTTAAATTTGGCAGAGTGTCTCTAAGCATGCAGATCTGTTTGTACCGACCATGTGCATGGAAAGACACATGCGCACCATGTTTACTTTTTTGCAATGATGTTCCTATGTGGCTTCTTTTTTTACAGTAAGCAGAATTCGCATAGGAAGGACTATTTGAAAAGGGGCTACTCAGCAAGGACAAACGTGATACAACACCTTTCTTGTTCACTGATAGGAAAATCAGCTGTATATAGTGTCCTGCACATAGCTGTAAATTTTAACAGTGTAGAGCAGTAGAATACGGTGCATTCAATTACTACTGCTGATACAGCAAGGACTTTTGGCAGCCTATTGAGCATGAGCAACTTGTGTACTTAAAATACACTTTTAGTCCTTGACAACGACTGAGAGAAACTGTTTTATTAGAGAGAAGCATTTTAAAACATCCATCCTCTGTATTAAATAGCTTATAATTATATCTGCATTTTACACCTTCAGCTCTAGATTGTTGTGGCACTCTAAGAAGACTTCACAGTTAATGTAAGCATAAAGAATAAGAAGTAGGTAAATGTGGGTCATCAACACAGAACTCCAAGCTAAAGACAGAGTGGGAGGCTCGAACACAGCTGAGCTTTACTGTTTTGCAGCAGCCTCATGTGCATCTCTTCAATGTTACATAAAGCTGTTATGTCTCTTTTGCTTTTACCGGCCTGCAGCTACAGTATGCCCCCACTTAAAGCTCTGATATGTTTCTAAACATGTACACATTGATGTATTTGTTCATATTGTTGGACTACAAGCCTCGGTACAGAGGGTGCATTAGATGAATTAGTTATAAAGCAGAGGAGCCGGAAGCCACCATTTGTTTACAGAGACGTGGAAGATGAACGAGGAGTGCACAGACATTGAATGTAAAACAAACCGGTGTTGTACATGGGAATATGAACAAAATACTAAGTGGGTGTATAAACTAGGTTTGGCTGACTGTAATAGTGACAGAATGAAGTCTGAATAGAGTTATGATGTTATCTAAATATAAATCAAAAGAAAGCAGGTAGTAGGACACTGTGGGTTGACTTGGAATGAAAAGCTAGCTTCAAAACCATATTCGGGTGATTATATAACATTCCTTTGTTTTCTTCTCCGCAGACAGTGAGATGGTCCCGCTGGACTGCATGCGTCCTCATTCTTTCACTGCCGCCCACCGGGCCTCCATTCAGAGAAACGCTGATGACCCACGTCTTTCCATCAGCCTGTGTGACCTCAGCCTGCAGCAGCAGGAGGCAAATCTGGATGAAGATGATGAGGAAGAAGAACGGCTACAACCCCTGAGCTCCTCCTCCTGCCATGTGCCCCAAAACTCTCAAAACTCACAGCAGTGTTCGTTGCTGCCCAGCCATTTAGACAATGATCTGCACTTCCACTCGGTGCATGGCGTACATGTTACGGCGCTGGATAAGCACACGGTGGCGAGGCTTGATCACCGTGGCGACGAGAGGACCCTGGTGTTCACCAGCCGCCCAATGCGCTGCTCAGAGACTGTGTTTGTGAAGGTGAAGGCGGGCGTCACACGGCCAGGGTGTCTTTCTTACGGTGTGACATCATGTGACCCTGCCACCCTGAGGCAGAGTGATCTCCCTTCTAATCCAGACTCCCTGGTTGACCGCAAGGAATTCTGGGCCGTGTGTAGGGTGGGGATGCCGCTACACAATGGAGACATCTTGGGCTTTGTGGTGAACGCAGAAGGGGAAGTCATGTTGAGCCACAATGGTATCAGTGCAGGGATGCAGCTGTGTGTCGACAACTCGAGGCCTCTCTGGATGTTCTACGGTCTGCACGGCACCATCACACAACTCAGGATCTTAGGTTTGTTTCTTGCTTTCTTTTTGATATTGTGTGAGACTGCTAAAAATAGCTTGATAATCCTGAATCAGATTAAAAATACAAATCCAACTGTAATCTGTGTAAATCTGTCAGGAAAGATGGAAAGTGTTAGCTCAATCCCTGTTTTTAATCTCTCATAAAAAAGACAGTATTTGAACAAAATTGCAAACTTATTTATTTCCAGGCAGGGGAGTGTCCACACTTTTTGGATTAGGGTGGCCCAACTGGGGCACTGACCTGAACAGGGGTAGCCTGAAGTTTGTGTCGCAAACATGAATGAAGAGCATTTATCTACTATCTAATCATATTGACTTTAAAGTAACAGAGGATAATGGCAACATATACATCTTCTAAGCTTAATTTTTCAAGGACTCAAAACAATATGTATGTCCAAATTCACAATTTGTAGTATTTAAAAAAAAATGCAACCAAACATCTGCACACTGAAAACTATGAGCCGTCTATTGCAACACAGTCTGAAAAGTGAATTTCAACACAAGTCCCACCCCTGGCATGCAAATAACAAATAATAGTTAAGGAATTTGTGGTGGCACTTGGGGTGGCCATAAGATTTCAAGGGGGGCCACTGCCACATGGACATGTCCCTGTTTCCAGGGATATCTTATACCTTTTAAGATTCAGGTTTGGTGTTGCATGTGTTCCTGAACTGTATTTGAAACTCGCGATTCCAATCGAAAGACCTAAAGGGATAACGTTTCATCTTAAGTCCTGTTTGCTGGTGAGATTACTTGGACATCTAGCTGCTGAGTCACATTGCTGTTTCTTTCATATTAGTTATAGTAATTCCAGTAGCCATTGAGCCCTTGAATAAATGTTTGAAAAAATCCCTTATGAGCATTTCTGTGAGCAAAAGTTTGAATATATTGTGGTTGAAGAAATTGGAACATGTTCCACAGATCTTAACAGAAAGTACTCTGGAACTTTTCATTCAGAAGTTAATGCAGTCTGTGATCCTTGAAAGACCTTTGGAGGCTGAAATCCCACTCAGCCGAGTCATGAAATACTTTCTGTCTGGGCTCCTCTGACTTTTTATCAACTCATATATCACTTGGGAATTTACATTCTGCCCCCACAGTTTGCATATGAATGTTAACTTTTTATCTTCAGTTGACCAGAATTCCTTTCAGCCCCGTCTGATTCTAGCAGATTTCATATGATGATACCGCAGCTTTACCTGAAGGTACCCTGAAGTTAATCACGCCTGGTGATGAGATTCTGACTCCCAGTCTGACTCGGAATGAACCGAATTAGATAATTTTATGGCAAACGGGTTCAGGAGCTGGGGAAAATGGTGGCGTGATGCCAGCTAGTTGTACGCGTTGGTGTCCATCTTTGGGTGGAATTTGACAGAGAAAGTGAAACCAAAACATGCTAGCTCGCATGCAAATGCTGCAGTGATGATCACAGTCTCAAAATATGCTTTAGGTGTGGTAAGGAGAGGTTTAGTGAACAAGCTTTACTCAAATAACTTTTGTTTTCTCTTTTGTTTTGTGGTAAAGCTCTTGTCATTGTTTTCGGAACATACAGTATTCAATGGTGGCGTGATGCCAGCTAGTTGTACGCGTTGGTGTCCATCTTTGGGTGGAATTTGACAGAGAAAGTGAAACCAAAACATGCGAGCTCGCATGCAAATGCTGCAGTGATGATCACAGTCTCAAAATATGCTTTAGGTGTGGTAAGGAGAGGTTTAGTGAACAAGCTTTACTCAAATAACTTTTGTTTTCTCTTTTGTTTTGTGGTAAAGCTCTTGTCATTGTTTTCGGAACATACAGTATTCATTGTGCAGTCAATAAGTATGTTGTAGCAACTCCACCGCGCTCTATTAATTTTAAAGACACAGCTGCAGGGGGAAATATTGCTAAGAGTTTATTTTCTAGAGCATTTGACAGCACACATCTCTAGCTAAGACATAAATATGCTTTCCAACATTTTATGCAATTCTTAGTTTGAAATATTTAGCATTACTCATGCTGTTTTAAGAGCTCTACACTTAAAGGCTTTAAAAGGTCTATATTTTATAAGGAGATGTAGCTCTGCTTGGATAGCATATTATGATGCTACTGTGAAATATTGCAGAGTGCTGCCAGCACTGAGTGAATGTTTTTTATTACAGTCTTGCAATAAAGAAAGTCAACTTGAAAAACAAACATATTTCACAACAGAGTTGTCTGTTGGCTAGATTGATAATGGTCATGTTGAAGCAACTTTCCCAAGAATTGTATTTGATCGTCAAAATTGTGAGATTTGTAGGAATTTGTTGATTCTTGTTATTGTCTTTCCTAATTCATTTATGGATAATGATTTTTCTCTTTCATGTTTTCAGTCAGACTGTGGCTGAGGAGGTTATTTCTGTCTTGCGTGGGCTCCAAGCAGCTAACATTATGTATCAGGAGGTGGGCTCTGATAGCGCCTTATGATTCCCTCCATATGCATTATTAAAATGTAATTGCATGGAGGTTAGAGATGCTGGGTTTTCCACCCACCACCTGTTCCCCTAACACGGTCCTCCAAACGTTTTCTCTTCTTCATCTTTTCCTCTTTTTCCCCCGTGTGTTTTCTTACTTAACCCCCCTCCTCTTTGCTGATTCTTTGGGGTATGAACGTTCTCCGAGTCATTACCCACTCCAGCTGTAGGGAGTGCATTTGTGCCGTCCCTGCTCACCCACTCGCCGCCGCCACACGCCACAAGTTGCCATGGAAACATCTAGTCAGTGAAGCAAGTGACAGTTTGTCATGGCTGGGTGTTGTCGAGCCTGTGAAGTGGAACAGATGGGAGTCTGTTGCACTCACATGGTCATTTTGTCCACGTTTTCTCAAGAACAAGGATTTAATCATTTCATTTTAAATATTCAGAATCAATAGCAGTCACGGTCACAGTAGTGATTAATTTCCTCAAGGTGTCCAGCAGTGTGCCCAGCTGTACTACAGCTATAATCTACATTTCTGGATGAGCCATTAATCCAATTACTGCATGGAATGGTAAAGGAGTCTCTCTGGATGACAAAGCAACACAGAATTATGGCATGACGCTGTGGCTCCCTTCATATGAACATCTTTTAACTCATTCTGTAGGTTTTTTTGCTGAGCTCAGCTGATATGAGGTTTTTCTTTGGATTGATACAGATGCCTATCTTAAGAGGGGAAACTCACAGTTTACATATATTGTGACTGATACATTTAATTTTTGGACTGAAATATCAGAAGGCTACTCTTTCAAACAAACAATATTATTAAATAATATTATATTGTAGAACATTGACGACATATTGCAGTGTGAAGCAAGATCTGCTGAACTGTGATGTTTGCTATATGCGATGCAGACGGTGCTGAGAGTATTGCAACCTTGCTCTGTTCTGGACACAATCTGTGAATGGCTGATATCAGCTACCGATATAGTGATCATGCTCTAGCTTTTTTTCCCCAGAATTAAGAGCACCATTTTAAGACTCATAGGATTTAAGATTAACTTTATTGTTTCACAAAGTGAGACAGTTCTGTAAAAGATTCAAAACCCAATACAGGCACAATTAGCAAGTGGCATTCAAGTCGGCAGCTTAAGAGCAAGATATTTCCCTCAAGAGTTTGTAGAGACAATGAAAGAGCTTAAAAACGAGTTAACATTAGTCTTAAAACGATTCCAGATAAATGCTAATGTTGCTCCACATCTGTTGAAGGTGAAAATGAGCAGTTTACAAAGAAGTTAGCATTTCTATTTGAAAAGTTCCATCAGTTTTGTGTTTGCAGGCTCATCCACTCTCTAGACAGACCATTCAGCTAATGTGGCATTTAAAGCCAAACTTCTTTCAGACACTAAAATGGAAATAAATAAGTTGACATGATGAGGCATGGATCTCTGTATTTGATAAACAAGTGCTGAAAGCCACCATACACATGCTCAACCACAAATAAACCTCCTGCACTGCTTGCATATCTCAAGACATTCACATATCCATTCCTGGTGGCTCAGCCAGCAGTAAATTCATAATAGGAGTGAAGATGAAAGGTCCCCTTGATGAAAGGGTACATGAATAGACATGAAGGTTATCCATTCTTTCTTATTAGAGTTTGACCAAGACATTTGCTAACAGCCGGGCTGTCACATAGCTCATGTTAAATAGGCAATGGAAGGTTGAGTAAATGCTACTATATGAATTCATGACTCTGCATCCTCTCTAAAATATGATAATATAACGAATAAATGAATAGATGACTCTGAAAAATGCATGTCTCAGCAAAATGGGGCAAACAAATTGATCCCAGCGCCAACCTTAAAAGCAAACTAATTATGGAAAAGTTTTTGTATGGGTTAGCACAGGCCCTGTGCTCTTGTACACTTTGTATCTCTGTTGATTTCTTGGTAGCAATCAAGTTGTTGCATGACTGAAAAGCTAGTATGTTAATGTAGTCTGAAACTGACACTGCAGTGGTTGAAATGGTCAAAGGAAAAGGCATCAGAGTTCAGAGGAATGGGTCAGAGCACACGGTTTGAGTTAGGAAACAAACTGTGTATATTTTGTTGTAAACAGACCACAGAAATACAGTAAAGAAACTTTTACTGACATTTTACACCATCTGCTGTACTTTTTTAGCTGTAGGAAAATGTGGATCATCACATTTTGGGACAGGATGTGAACTACCAGTACTAGAGTAATGACACTTGGGATTGTTGGTTGGATCAAGTAAGCTTCCAGTCTGATGGTGTAGTGTATTTTTGCCATGGTCACTTGAAGGACAATGTGTACAACAATGTCACGAGCCTGCCAGGCAGACTAGACCGGGATTTGTCAGTGGAATCGGGGTCAGTATTCTAAATGAGCTGCCAAAATGAAAACCAATGCCAGAGCCGATGGTTATGGGGTGTGGATGGGGACGGATCACACAAGACCGACAACAGCTAGTCTGTGGAAGCATTTTGTACCCTTCCCAGAGGGATTGTGGGCTCAGAAGGAAGGACAGGCGAGGGGTTTGGCATTTCTGACGAGAGTCCGCCAACTCACTCTCACTCACCCACACACAGACACTGTGGACGTACAAGTCAGTGCTTGGTGATAGAGAAGATTTTAAATGTGATAGAAAGAGTGTGACAGACTGAGACAGTGAGACAGATGCAAAAAGACATCATCTCACTCATTAGCAACTCTGGCTGACTTCTCAAAGATGCATAGTGTGAAAGACAGAAATATTGGAGTGTGACCAAGTGACCAATGCTTTTCATTTGACCTTCCAACAAGTCTTCCAACAAAATCCACCACTCAAAGCGCTGATCAAAAACCACTATTTATACACCCGACAAAAGATCAACTTGAAGAGAGTATTATGTTGATCAAAGCCAGCAAGCTGTCAGCAGTCAGTGTTTTCTAACCAGTATGGAGTTATTGGTATTGGAGATGTTCTCTGTATCATCTGATACTATCGGCAAGGTATCTGCAATGGTTTTGGAAAAATGTGTTTTTGCTCTACTCTCATCCATAATCCACGTTTGGCTAATCTTTTGTTTCTTTTCTGCGCCTTCAGGCTCATCTTCACACCCAGACCTCCGAGGCCCCTCGGTTCCCAGCTCCCCATCCTGTACACCCAACACCCCCACAATGTTTTGCAGCGGCAACTCCGAGGCCAACCTGAACATGAACATCAACCTCAATTCAAGCCTAAATGCCAACTACAACGCAGTCTTTTCTTCCTCTACAGGTTGGTCCAAGCTTTCATTCCCATGGGTTACCTGAAGCTATTGTTCTTCTTTTCAGAGAATAATGGAGAGTAATTACTCTCTCAATCAATCAGATTGTTCTCCGATAATCTGATAAAATAACTGTGTAGTCTAGATGAGCTTCGGTTTTCCTTTGTAATGACAGGTCATCGTCTCCATTCAAGAACTGATGTGTGTCATGTATTTCCTTTCCAGATTTCATGATTTCTTTTTGTCTCTGTTGTTGTTTAATTTTGTTTGTGTAAGAACTTCATTAAAGTGCAGACATAAACCAGCCAGAGGCACACAAACACTGACCCAACACACAGCAAGACGTCAACTCACAATACGCGTGTTTGCACATGAAGCAAATATTTACCTTGGTGATGTGAAGCAGTGATTCCTGACATCACTACAGTCTAAAGCTGCAGGCAGTATGAGAGAAAAAAAGTCTTGGCAGAAGGAGTGAGAACTTGAACACAAATATTCCTACAAACATTTTTTCCTGAACCATCACAAGCAGAGAAAAACAGTGGACAGGGTACTCACAGTTGTCTGCCTGAACTACTAATTTCTGGCAAATTTGGGGATTATTTCTCTCACACTCACTGATCTCTAATGGGTTCTACTTTCCCCATCATAGGTACAACCTCAAGCTCTCCATTCTCCAGCCAGCCAGATTCCCCAACCTTTCTATCCAGCTCAGGCTCTTGGAGTGACGAATGCACCATTTGCTACGAGAATGTGGTGGACACCGTCCTCTATGCCTGTGGACACATGTGTCTCTGCTACACCTGTGGCCTAAAGCTAAAGAAGATGGCCAATGCATGCTGTCCCATCTGCAGGAGGACAATCAAAGATATCATCAAGACTTACCGGAGTACATAGGACTGTGCAAGAAAACGGTCAGGTTCAGCTCAAGAGGTTGTCAAAGCCATTTAGAACTTTTTAAAGGAAGACACAGCACAAGTGAAAGCCCCACTTGAAATCTGGCTCAGGTATGCTACAGCAGGACTTTAACTCAGTCATTTAAACATTTTATATAAGTAATGTCTAATCGCATCCTCGAAAAGCTCACAGTAGTTCCTACCAGAGACCCAAGCAATGAGATTTATCAGTCCATGGAAACAGTGTGATTCTTGGAAACGAAATATGTGCTACTTCAATTAATTGCAGAAAGGACCAAAAACACTTTGACCTAATGTTGTATCGTCCAGGGACTCTGATCTGTGTGTCTATGGAATAGAGAGTAATCCGAAGAGACATTTGACCTATTTCTTTCAGAACAAGGGATGCTAGCTCATGCACAAATGCAGGCAAAATTTGTATCTCGTGCTTAGAATTGCCAGGTGGGGTGAACCACGTATACTTCTTGGCCAATGGTTGAGGAGTATGCTTTGCCGGGTAAAGTTCAACCTGGTTGAACTCCAGACAACGTGATGCATATTTTCTTTGAAAACAGAGTTAATGGTTTTTATTGGTTCCTTCACTCGTATGGATTGGAAAACAACAGAAGCGATTAGTCTCCAATGTTATTATGTTTGGGATGAGATGAAAAAGAAATAAGATAATAATACCTTTGGTTTAAATGGCTGCTTGCCAGATATTTCTGGGTTTAAAGTGTCATTACAAGTAGGAATCAATCTTCTCAGTTTCCAATTCAGAGAGAAAGTTAAGATAGTTTTGTTTGAGTTTTTCTAGAGGGCAGTGAGGAATGAGGAAAAGGACGACATGTTTTCTGTGCAGAAACTTGGTAACACTTAAATTCAGAGAGAACTCTCCTACAAATAAAACACAAAATAATGACTAAACCTAATGGAAAATTAAATCCTTAAAGGATGTGTAATAAATGAAGTGTTTTACCAGATTACCCTCTGCCTGCTGTGGTAGTTCTGTTAACTTCAGGCACGGTGAGATTGTGCTAAGGATGAGTGTTGTCACCATAGAAGGTCACACTCGCAGTTGAATGAGCATTTGAATCAGTGATGAGGGAGCGAGGGAGGAGGTCGGAGAGAGGATGTCGTATGTTTGGGATGGAGACAGGGGAGGAAGGGCCACTTTTGCTATGCGTCTGCTCATCGTTTCACACTAAGAACGTGTTTGCTCACTCCTGCACTGCAGATACATGAGAAGATTGTCTTTAAGCCTGTAAAATGAGAGACTTGCATGGTTTGCATCTCCTTATTCTTGGCAGACATCCCAGCCATCTCTGGCTGCAGTAACTGGATACAAATCTTTCAAATTAACATCGGTGGGCAGAGGAGTATTTTTAAAACGCTGAAAAAAAAGCACATATACGGATAAAATCAAACTTGTTCTCATTGCAAGAAACCACCATTATGATACAGGTGGCTTTTGTATCTTCAGGTTTTACATGTCTCTTTCATATGTACTTTAAATAAGAATATTTGCTTTCAGTTATGATGTGTATCAGTTCACCGTGGAAAATTTACGCGTGTGCTGTCAGTGACAAACATGTAGCTTGCTATTGTGGGACATTGTGAAAATTACTTTGCATATCAGTTTCTGAGTGCTGCTCTCAGTCAGTAAAAGCATACACCAAGGACATTTTCAGTTCTCATGCATTATGTACTGCTTTTGAATCATTAAGAAGCTATTTTCAGGTGTTATTTTGGACTTGCTGAACATTACTCAATCTGTGAAGTAGTAAGTGCTGATTTGTCGCTTTTAAAAGGTGTTGAAGCTTGTCATCTCGCCACTTTGGAGGGAGAATTAAGCAGTTAAGTTGTACAAATTTGAGTATCTTGTGTGCCTTTTGAAGAGAAGTCTGGACAAATGCTGGTGTGTGAAAGGCTCCTCACTGTGAAAACCAGGAGGAACTCTGAGGTTCATATTCATCTAAAAAGTCACTGTGGTTGGGATGTAAGCAGGTGTAACCACACAACCTACCAACGCTAAGCTGTCATGTCTGACTAAGAAACAAACCTTTTTAGTGTGCTTAATATCAGTGCGTGAATTGATTCACTGCTGAGATTAAATGTTTAAGTACTGCCTTTTTCCTTCTGTCACTCAGTTTTTAATACTGGAACATTTTGCTCAGCCCTTAAAAGTTTTACCTTTTTTTTTTCGTCCTCTGACCAAATATGACTTACAGTATAAAATTGTAAAGGATTTTTGATAGACAAATGATATTGATTGTGTGTAAGATTACCTGTACATTAGGTTTATTTATTTTGTCAATGTTACTATTAAAAAAGTATCACTGTTTGTTTTTCTATGTATGGCTACAGCGTCCAAAAAGTGGGATATTGTTTATTTCATTGTTGTATAATTAAAGGTTGAAGATAATCCCCTTTTCTGCTCACAATCTGTCCGTTTATTTTAAGCGAAAATAATAGTTTGACATTTTCGAAAATATGCTTCATTACTTGCTAAGGAGGAGAGAATGTAACATGTAATTTTTATGCTGCTTACAATCAAATGCAACAAAATTTATTTTTGAAATAATGATGTAACAAGTTTTTTTCTGATTTGAGTTTTTCAAACTTTTGATACTGCTGATGTACGCCAGCTTATAGTGAGGTATTTCAAATTACAGAATTAAAATACTTATTATTAATAGGGCAATTACATATTTTTAACAATCCATCAAATAACACTTGGATAACAGCTTGACAATGTTAAAAGATATACATTTGCAGAGATCTATCACCTGAGTCGTCTATCTCGACAGGAAACAAAAGTCACAGCTAGCAACTAGCTTAATGTAGTTGAGCACCGACTAGCTAAAGAGCATGATTTAGCTCAGGAAAAACCACAAAAAGAGCCTAAAAAGAGTGTTTATTGGACTTATATTCATCAGGTGGATAGACAAGACACAATAGGAGCACTAACGACAACAGCTTGCTAACAAGTTAGCAATTTCAACTCAAAAACGCTTAGTCATTCAGAGTAAAGGTTTTGTTAAGAATTTTTTATCTTCTATTAATTTCCTTCTCGTATCTTTTTACAAATATGAAGCTCAGCCGCTGGCTAATGTAAATAGGTTAATGTAATTAAGCTGCACAATAGATAATAGCCCTCTAAAGCTCTCAGTTATGTCTTGGAGTCTCTGTTTTGGTCAACTATACAGGTCCCAGCCAAAAATATGTTATTGTTTTACACCAAATCTGGAAATGTTCTTTAAAAGTGGGTTTGAAAGTGAGATATTCAGCCTTAAACACTATGATTAAAATAAAGTTTTAAACATATTGTAACCTTTGAATCAGAGGCTAATTTGCTGGCTGAAGCAACTGACTGGACAAAATGGAAAGTGGCGTCTTTTAATCTCCTACCAAAAGTGAATATTAGCATATTCCCCAGGGTGTCAAACTTTGAAGCCATTGGGCTAAATATGGTGTTACAAGGGAATAAAATATTTCATGTTGGCACACCAATTCGTAAAATGAAGATTGTCTTGTGCATTTTTAAATTATATCTTAAAATGTGTGTGAAGCAATCTGTTTTTTTTCAAAATGTTAACCATTCTGAAGCCTGTTTTTCAAATGTGACCAAATATTTTTAGTCACTATAATGGACAACAATATCAAATTTTAACTCCAATTTTCTCTGCTTGGGATTTATTTCATTGTGAAATTCTCAGTTCAGTTTGAAAAATAAAGTGTAGTCTTAATCACTGGCTATTTGCCTTTTGTTACTTTTGTTTTTGCATTTAAATTGTTATTGTACATCCATACAACTCTACAGAAGAAGCCTGTCCCCTATTTTGGTTATTTTGTTTGACTCAAACTGCAATGAAAAGTTAAAACTGAATATTTCCATTTCACTGCTACAGTCCTTATGTTTTATGCAAAACAGGAAACTGAAGTCAATCTTGCACAAAGGAAGGCAAATGAGAGAGCGTAAGTGCCATTACCTTTTTCCCATAATGTTCATTACACAAATGGTTGATGTAACCTCTTGGGCAAGAAGATTCAAATTGTGCAACAGTTAGAGAGAAAAAAATTAAGCAAACCTTCAGAAGCTCAACATCCAACACGATCTCTCACCACTGTACAACACTTGACTAACACCCTGCCATATAGTACATGAATAACAAAGGCAAGGGCTTTTAGTAAACAGCTATAACTCACACGGAAACTGTTTAGAGCCGTGGTATGTAGACCTGGCCAGAGTGAACATCATCTGTTATTTACTACCCTGCAGGCCTGGCTCTAATGCAGCTCTGTTTAATGCTGCACTCCAATACAGGCAATGACGTCCAGACATGAAACAGGCTGCAGTGGCGGGGCCGTTCATAGCCAAGTGTTCTCAGAGCAGAGGTGAGAGGGAAATACACAGCCAGGGTCTATGACGGTGACATGAATACAGTATATCTCTCTGCTGTCTGTGTACACACAGACTTTCCACTCAGACCTCTCAGTGAACCTGCAGGCTGCAGCCCTTACCAAGGCTTAAGGGCTTGGCAGATTTGTTTGAGCCGTGTTGTGGTATCTCTTCAAGACAGCTATTTGGTCAAACAGACACTGTCAATTAAGGTATCAAATTTGTATTCCAAAAAAGCCAGACAGTATCGATTTTGAATTTCAACCAGGCATCACACAGCCAGAATTGGAGTTTGTTCCTCTGTTGCGGTTAAGACTTTAAGCTTTTGATGTTCAGCGTGATGTCAAATCTTTTCCTCAGTCCGACTTGCAGTGTCAAGGGACAGACTGTGAGGAGAAGTGCAATTATATGGAAAGTACAACTTTGTTCATAGTCTAAAAACATCAGTTGAGCGATCTCAACCCTCTACCATCTCAGTTCTTTGTTGATGGAAACAGAGGTGAAGGTTACTGGATGATGCTGTGCGCAGCCTGCAATAAGAAGCTGAGTGCTGCTGCCCTCCAGAGGCCAGACACAGCTACAGCAACTATGAAGTGAAATAGCTTCCCATGCAGACATGCTTTCTATGTAATGCATGAAGCACCTTTTAAGGGCTCATTCAATATTCAACCCATCTCCGCTTTTTATGAATGACCATGAAAATAGACTGCATTTGATCTGCTGTCAACCATTTCTATGGTCAATATCCATACCTTAGATTAAAATACATTACAGTTTGTGTATTGATTTTCATGAATCAAAACACCAATTGCTACAACTCAACCTTCACATTTAAAGTTAAAAATGCATTTTAGAATGCCTTCTTATTTGGCACTCCTGTAATTTATCTTTTTTTCTTTCTCATAAAAACACAAAAGCAATTACAGACACACTTAGACACAGCCAGCAGAAATACTTGTTACAAAGATGATAGACGGGCACCCATAATTTAGTTCCAAGCCAGCGAGTGTAGTATCAGTGAGATCCCAGTAGAGAAAACAGCCAGTAGGATGGACATATTTCACATTAGATTCCTGTAGGCTGTAAATGGTATTATATTTCAGGCTCCAAATCCAATATATCAGCAATATGCAGTGTCTGACACGAGAAAAACAACATCAGTTTTTGATATGGTGTTTCTCTGATTATAACTGAAGGGGACAATGTTATTGGCTCAAACTCTTCCATACTTGTGAGCTAAACTTTTCCTTTGTCAGTTGATACTAAATTAAGCAGCCCAGCGACCATGAAATAAAAGCCATCTAAACCAAAGTCAAATGTGCGGGTTTTCCAGAGGCAGAAGCTGCCGGAGGAGGCCCATCAAAGTGAATGTGCAGATATCTGGCTCAGTGCTGTGGGTACAAAATGAAAGGAATGCCAGGCAACCAAGTGTGATCTAATTTATTTTTAAAACAGCATCCAGCTGGTCAAACCCTACTGCATATGCACAGATGTGGGTTTGTTCTAGATGTAAACACATCCAATATTGAGATCTTTGCTTATTCAGAGGCAGAAACTTTTGTATGCAACACAGCTGAGAGGCTTACAATCAACAGTTATCATTTTCCTCAAACTATTTACTATGCGCCATCTTAATTTGTAATTAATTTAGCATACTCCTTTCCGTGGTGACTTTTAAAAATAAGAGCAGAATTATAAAACATGTCACAGGCTGAGCGCCACTAAACTGCACTTCAGTCTTTCACAATATAGCCTAAATCTGATCTGCGTCAAACGTGTCCAAAGTTACCTTTATTGGGGAAAAAATAGAACTCAAAGAAATTCAAATTTTTGCACACTTTGACACAGCCAATCAAATCTTACATTCAACAATGGGTGACGTAGGCGTTTAGGTTTAGGCAGACGTAGACGGAAACCCAGAGCCACACTAAGGCCTGCTGCTAGGCAACACATGATCCGCACTGGCTCCCCTCCATTAGTAGGTATCCTTTTGTCAATGAAAAACGCGTTTTACTTTGCGCCTGAGCAGGTAGGACGAGCCACCATACAAACATCTGCAGGTGAGAATGTTCTTCTGGTATCACTCATACGATGTTAAGCTAATTAGCAACTTAACTGCAGAACATTACACAGTTACTAAACTTACCTGAAATTTCCATTTCGTGCAGAGGCCGAACAGCGTTATATATATCCGGGTCGTCACATGATACGCACTGCCAATGAAATCTTGGCTACCACAGCCTGCTTATTTAATACAAAAGGTATGGGGTTATCAGTTGAAGAAAATACATAGAGGTGACAAATTACTAGGTTTTAACTGCTTGGTGTGCTTGGGTAAATAGAAAAAGATAAAGTTTTATTTGTTCTGGTGGATACATACGGTCCATACACAGATTGTTGCCTTTTAGCGGTGTTACCATGACAACACAGAAAAGTCAGACTTTTCTCTATGATAGCTAAATAGTTTTTATTTTAGGCGCAATAACAAAAAATCTTGTTTACAGTATAAGCAAAAGTTACTATTTAACCTTATTACGTTCAAGTCACATGACCATACAGCACAGAGAAAGAAAATTTGCAGATACATTTGCAAACTTAATCCTTTTTCTGTTCTCGGTTCTACTAGGCAATCACAGTTAAAATGCATTGTTTTACCTCTTTTGTGTACTGTTAAGCGCCTTGCAATATGTGAGCTCAAAGCTTGAAACTCTCTTGTCTGTTTTAATCTTTCATGGTGTTCCATACGTCTTCTGTGAAGAATAAACATGAACGTGGACGAGCAAGATTCACAAAGATGTTGTACCTACCTAGCTCTAGCCCGCTTCAATCACAACTGTTTACATCTGTAGCGGGTTTGAGCATTGTTCAGGTATTTTCTAGAAAAACCAAGAAGGCCGCTTTGATTCTACCATTGTCTGCATAAACAAGCATGGGTTTACAAATAAAGTAAATAGGTGTTGGCTATGAAATGAATCAAACATCTTTGGATTATATGAACCTTTATGGTTGACCCAGAAGCCAATTGAATTGAATGCATTTAAAGATCATGGAGTCCAGAGTAGTTTGAATTAACAAGTTTGTCTGGTCAGTCTAAAAAGTGGAGGATAACAGCTGCAGCAGCTTAAATATTTCAGTTTGAAGTTGAAATAGCCAAAATAAGTGAAACCCGATGTGTCAGCATCATTCAATATGAGTGATGAAAAGCAGAAAAAGCACCAATTGTTCAAAAGTGCATTTATTTAAGTCATTCTTTTGGCACTTGAATTATTAACACTGATCACACAGTTAACAAAAAAACACAAGTGAGCATCCCAGTAATACTGTTGATGAAAAGTTGTGTCAAATTTACTGCCCAGCAGAAATTCAAAATTGTATCTTAATCAATAGAGCAGTTCTTAGAAATGTTTAAGCGTTTGTGATTTTAAAAAATCTGTATATGTCTTACAATAATAATAAAAATAAGTAAAATGTTTTGAAGTACTGAATAAATATAGATTTCACTAGTCTCAAGGACATTTCAATATGGACCATTAGGAACTGAAATGAAATCAAGAACTTTTAAGGCTTTACGTTTCAAAGGAGATCACAAAGTATTGTTCTTACATAATCATAATCAGGGATGCTCACAAATTGTTTCATAAGGACATTATTACACAATTAAAATGATAAAATATTTCACATAAAGGTGACATACAGTATGAAGAATAAAAAAAAACATGCAAACAGACAGCACCAAGATGAGACTAGCACAAAGCAGCTTTGGCAATTTTCTTTACAAAAGTGAGGATAAAAGTTTTAATTTCAACAGCTCAAGGCATCGTCAGTATAATGAATCATTTCAAACATGCAGTAAGCTTTTAATGCTTAAAAAGTTACAAAAAATACATTATCTACTTACAGAGAAAGGTTCAAGGGATAGACGCAATATGACATCTTAGTTCAAGTTAAAGGTATCCACTGTAGAAAATCATTAAATCATTCTTCCGCCCTTTGGTGTTCTCTTTGGCTGTTTCACTAAGTCCCAAAATATTGCCCCTAATGCAACTTCTCAGGCAGTGTATTATATAGACTCATTTCACCAGATGTCTCATTTCATTTTAAAGTCACAATGTGATCTGGCTGCTCATTTTGGCAAAGGTACCGGGTAAGATTACAATCCTTACTTAATGTCTTTGGATGAGCCTTTTTCTTTTTTTTTGCAAAATAAATGTTTCTATTTGAGTAGTCTTTACATTTATAGCCAGAGTTCTGCCAACTCTACACATGAGCGCTAGGGCTTCCTCTCAAGGTAATTTGAAGGAACCCATCCTTTTCTTGGTCTGCCACTGTCCAGAATCTTACAGTACC